CCCGACCCTCCGTCTTTCACTCGCCAGCTTCCACTCGGCGGGGCGGGCTGGCTCCTCCTCGCCCTTATCTCCCGCCCTGATCTCTTCTGGAAACCGGAACGAAGCCTTATGGAACCCGGCGAGTGGCTGGGCGCAAGGGCAAACACGTTTAAAAAGACCGCCATCCCTGCTCGCCTCAGAGGCGGACCACTGTTTGCTCTGTTTGATATTCCATAACAGAGTGTAAACAGAGAATTTGCTTGGATTACAAATTGAAATCTGGTCGGCTGAAAATTGAGCCGGGGTTTGGCTGGAACTGCAGACGTCGCGGACTGCAATAGTTAGTTGTTTTAGTGAGTTTGGAAGGGAATAGTGAGTGTATGTGCTGGGATAGGGCCAGTGGTTGGGCGACCCACATAAGCCGGCAAAGGTAGAGAGAGAGGCCAGTGGGTGTGTCTGAGTGGGCGGGTGAAGGAGAGCAGGCCAGACTCCATGGTGTTCAGGTACCAATCAGTGAGACAAGTGTCAAGGTGGTTATGCATTAATTAAAGTAGTTATCAAGACGAGTGGCTTAAGTATGTGGGCGCCATAGGGTGCGTGAAGGGTGATGGCTGGGGACAGGTGGATGAGGAGGGGGGGGGGGAGAGAGTCCTCTCAGTGGGCGGTGAGTACCACTTAGTGAGGTGGGGAGTGGCTGCTGTTCAAGCATTCCCAGACACACAAGTGGGAGAGGGGAGGTGTCTCTCTCTCTCTCTCTCTCTCTCTCTCTCTCTCTCTCTCTCTCTCTCTCTCTCTCTCTCTCTCTCTCTCTCTCTCAAATTAAAATAGACTGTCAGTGTGTCTATCTGTATGTCCCGGGTAGGAGGCCAGTCACCTGGGGCCATCCTCATCCAACTTACCAAGATGATACATGTGGGGGTCATGAGTGTCATAGGTCAGTCGGGGTCGGCCCCAGTGCTGCTTTTTAATAAATATCGGCATCAATAGCGATCACCTGCGGTTTTCGTGAAGTCTGAAATTGGGGATACGTTTTCCATAGAGCTAGCAATTTTTCAGTGATTATTAATACAAATTAATTATTTTCAATATAAATTTTCGGAGAAAGAGAGGGGAGAGAGAGAGAGAGAGAGAGAGAGAGAGAGAGAGAGAGAGAGAGAGAGAGAGAGAGAGAGAGAGAGAGAGAGAGAGAGAGAGAGAGAGAGAGAGAGAGAGAGGAACGAGAAGAGTGAGGGGAGGGAAGGAGAAAGATGAAGCGTGGAGAACCAACCCTTACTCCCAATAGAACGTCGCATTTTGACATATACTTTATCTAAGGCCAAAAAGTACAGTACACGCACCTGGGGCCACAGGTGGAAATTGAGCGCCCAAATGAGTCATAAACACATTAGAAACAAGTTGTTTAGTGTCAGAGTAGTTAACGGATGGAATGCACTAGGCAGTGATGTGGTGGAGGCTGACTCCATACACAGTTTCAAATGTTGATATGATAGAGCCCAGTAGGCTCAGGAATCTGTACACATGTTGACTGACAGTTGAGAGGCAGGACTATAAACAGTATAGAATATAAATTGTTATAAACAGCTTCGGAGCTGTTTATAACCATAAATGAGTTAATGAGCTTCGGAGCTCATTAACTGTTTAAAAATTGTAAACAAAGCCGCCAAAGATTGAGAAAAGATGGACAGGTTCGTAAGTTCTTGCGTAAGTGCTTTCGTGAATCTGGTCCCTAGTTATTTCTGCTTGATTCTTAAGTTTATCAGACTCTCGTGTGGAAGTGCATCAATTTCCTCCTCCTTTCTTGCTGTATCTCTGTTGACCTTGGAGTAAAGATGTAACTGGTGGGTCAGGCAGGAGTTCTCGTCTCTGGAGCCGTGTTGGTGTTCGGGGACTAGGCTCACATTCTAGCTGATTTGTTACTAGTATTATGCTGAGAAAGTATGTCACTAGGAACTTGCCACTCACCTGTATTGAAAATTGGAACACCGTTAGTCTTCAATGATTGTGCGTATTGAGGTGTTGAAGATCTCTGCCAGTGGTTGGTCTTAGCTCTTCAGTGACCTCCTATAGGACCCACGGGTGAATATTTTGTCATAAACCTATGCTTTTTTTTTCTCGTCCAGTTCCTCTAATTCCTTCCTCAGTTCCTCTTCTCCCACATCGGTGTTACTGATCCCGTAGCCTCGGTGCGCGGGGTCGCCGGCGCCTGCTGGTAGTTCTAGTTCAGTTCGGACGCTTCTGTAAATGGTTATGTTACAACCGAAATGTTCGTCACATAAGGGTCCAGGACGGGTTCGATTCTCACGCACGTACTAGACGTTTGGGGGGGAAGTTTCCTTACGCCTAATGTTCTTGGGCAAGATTCACGAAGCAGTTACGCAAGCACTTTCTCAATCTTTGGCAGCTTTGTTTACAATTATTAAACAGTTAATGAACTCCGAAGCACCAGGAGGCTGTTTATGACAATAACAACAATTAATTGGGAAGTTTTAATGCTTGTAAACTGTTTAATAAATGTAACCTAAGCCGTCAAAGATTGAGGAAAGATGTACACGTTCGTAAGTACTTGCTTAACTGCTTCGTGAATGTGGCCCCTTGTTCACCTGCCAGTTAATATATGATCGAGAGTTATGAAACTGTCATGGTTCGCATTCTGTAGAAGGTCAGTGGTTGATCCAGAGGCCTTGGTGATCTTTACAGGCTTCCTGTCCCCAAACAATAGTTATTTATAGAGTGAAAAGTATACATTTTGTAGAATATTAAGTGTGAATAATAAACACAAATATTAGTCTTTTAGAAGTGTGCCACACGACCCGGTCACAAGGTGGAGTCTGGTGTCCTCGGGTAGGGAGTCAGGTCACCACGAGGTCATAGGTCATGCCACCACACACTCACAGGGGATCACCTGTTAGGCAGTGTAGGTGCAAAGTCATGCATGTTCACTGAGTCAGGTTTAATCTAATGTGTCAATCAGTCAAGTTCGAATCCTTGTAATTTTCGAATTTACATATCAACAAGGTGGAGTATGGTTAAATGTTTATAGTTCCCCCTCCCCCAACCTCCCTCCCACCCCCCCCCCCTCTCTCTCAGGAGGGAGGGGGGGGAGTGGCCCGCCCGTCCCATTCCCACATGTGCCCCCCCCTTAAGGATGCCTCTCCTTCAATACTCCCCCCAAGACGATCCTTTTCCCCATGCGCCCCCCCCCCCCCACTAGCGGATGCCTGGGACTCAATCCCCAACCATAACCAGCAGATCCCCAAGATTCAGACCCCCCCCCCCCAACAGGGGGTTGAGGGGTCCAGGACGCCCCCCACCCACCCAACAGGGCGGGAGGACGAGGGGGCGGGGGCCACCACAGTATTGTGTGTGACTCCTCAACACTAAATTGGAACGTTTGTTGCCGCTAATGGAAAACCGCCCACTGAAAAGCACAGCACTGCCGCCCGCCCACCAGCCCGTCCGCCACCCCACCCACCCTGCCTTCCACCCATCTATACCCGCCCACCTTGCATCCCGCCCATTATATGCCGTCCTTCAGCATATTCTGACTCACGCTCCTCGTGCCGCCCAGCCTACCGCCCAAGGAACCTGCCAACTGTACGTCTGTCACCCCATCATACTGTCCCAACCCGCCGCCCGCCCCCGCCCGCCCGCCCGCCCACCAGACCGTGAGGCGCGCCTTACGCCGCCCGTCGCTACCGACAGCCAGCCAGACATTGAGTCAACAAAGAGCCAAGTTACGCTCTTCACCCACACCCGCCCATTCACGCCCACTCTGGCTCCCCTTGTCACCCTGCATTGTCAGTGGGTACAGTGGTACACTCCCAGGACTGGTGCACCACAGTGGTACAGTGGTACACTCCCAGGGATGGTGGGAAGGGTTGGCCCCATTTCAAAGTGGTCATTAAGTGTTTCAGTAATTAGTGAAAGATACATATGATTTCTGTATGGATGTATACATATACATGTAGTGTGTATGATGTACATCAGGTAATATAAGAACGCAAGGTGGTGATTCAAGTGTGTGAATCAGTAGTGCGCGGCCAGGCGGACTGCTGTGTCCAAACATGGAGTCCATTTTCAGGGGGATATGGCTCCCCTGGAGAGAGTTCAACACCGGACAACGGAAATAATAGTAATAATAATAATAATAATAATAATAATAATAATAATAATAATAATAATAATAATAATAATAATAATAATAATAATAATAATAATAATAATAAAAATTTTTATTCAGGTAAGGTACGTACATACAAGGTAAGATACAAAAGTTGATGGATTTATAGATAGAGCTAGTACATACAATGCCTAAAGCCACTATTACGCAAAGCGTTTCGGGCAGTTCTGGAATGAAATCATTCCAGAACTGAGTCACCTGACGTATCAGGAACGGTTGAGGTCCACACGGCTAACAGCACTACACACCAGGCAGGACACGTCGGTCAATATTGAAACTTGTAAAATACTGAACAATTTGGAGGATGCTGATCCGGACAATTTCTTCAAAAGGTCAGATGTAACACAAACAAGGAGCAGCGGGTTCAAGCTCACCAAGCCACAATGTGGGAGTGAGAACAGGAGATACTTTTCACCCATAGGGTTATAAACCCATGGAACCGCCTACCCGCCGAAGTCGTAAATGCCCAAACTGTTAACTTGTACAGTACAGCTGGAAAAGATCATCACGGCAAATGGGTTTAACCTTCGACAAGCTGCCGGCTTCCTGTCCTCGTCGAGGCCACTAGTGTTAGTAGCTCTCAGGTAAACTCAGATAAAAGAACTGGAACTACTTATATAAAGGCCGCGGTCAGCAGTTTTATTCAAGTAGGCCCTCGGTCAAGATCGTAGAGCCTTGTCAAGTGACACTCCATCGGTCCAGGCCTGGATAGAACACTTGCCCTTCACGGGGCCACGCATTCCGACTCCTTAAGGCATACATGGCCCCCTTGAAGGAGTGCTTCTCAACCTGGCTTGGTCGGTCAAGTCTAGGCAGCACTCCGGTGTAAATGAACCGCTGATTAATTACTATTTGTGAGTCTAGAGTGTTTTAGTAGTTGAATACTGCCTCCACATCCCGTAGGATGTGGAGGCTCCGTCCCCACAGTGGGTGGATGTGGAGGCTCCGTCTCCACAGTGGGTGGATGTGGAGGCTCCGTCTCCACAGTGGGTGGATGTGGAGGCTCCGTCCCCACAGTGGGTGGATGTGGAGGCTCCGTCTCCACAGTGGGTGGATGTGGAGGCTCCGTCCCCACAGTGGGTGGATGTGGAGGCTCCGTCCCCACAGTGGGTGGATGTGGCGGCTCCGGCGTCTTCTGAACATGAATTTTGTCAAATATGGCGGTCACACGTCGTAGACTGGTTACTTGCTGTTCAACACTTGGTAACTGTGTGATGTTACTAGACATCACACACCTCTTGCATACATAAATCTATGTAATCCTTCACATAGTGTAGGACGCTGCACCCTGTAGAGTCTATTATTTAGCTGTATAAACGCAGATAACACCTCAGTATGTTGGTTACAAACCAGAGGTTGTCTGGGGCTACAGGTAGAGTGGCAATGACCTGAAAGGATACTAACATTTCTCAGGGTTGTGTCAGCCATCTGTACCAACAACTGACTCTCCTCCAGAATGCAACCCTTAAGAATTTCCTGTGAATGCAACAGGGAATTTCCTGTTTTACTGCTAGTGAACAGGTGTATCAGCTGAAAGGAAAGGTGCCCAACTGTCTCTGTCACGCCCGTGGATGGAACACGGAAGACCACTGCGGTACGCCCTCAAAATACAGGTTATACGTTACAGTATGATGTATGTTTTTTCCCTGACAAATCTACTTGATTTACAATGTAAACTCTACGGATTATCAAACCTCGATGTTGAGAGGTGTGTAGCAAGTTTACTTTGCCAAAGAGTATACCAGGGGGGGTCGGTGGGGGGCGTGGGGGGGGGGGTCGGTGGGCAGATGGCGATGCTGGGCCAGAAGGTAGGCGCCGTCAGCCAGCCAACACAACTTGATGAAACAAAAAGCAACCCCATTAATCTATAGCAAGAAGGGCGAGGTTCCGGAAACAAAAGCCACTATTGGCATACGACCTCGACAATATCCATTCCGTAGCGGGTATGAGAAAGAGAGAGAGAGAGCGCGCGAGGTTAAAAAAAAAAGAAGCGTTCCACCCTCTTAATCACAAGCGAACGCGGCCATAGGGAAGCATTCGAGTGTGAGGAGACAATTTTGTAATGAGCGCTAACATCATACAAACTGGGAGGCGGATGCCACTCTTATCAACCAACGTTTGATGAGGATTTTCTATACCACTCCGACCTGTCTTACCATTTTAAAACCTCCAACACAGACATCCAGGAGAGGATCTTTTGATCATGTTTCATACAAATCACCGCTGGATGGGGTCCCCGTTGCCCAAACTGAATGCTAAACAGGTTCTAAATTATCTTCTCCCTGGCAGCCTGGCGTGCCTCTCAAGCCGTCCTGTGCCGTATTAAGCGAGGAGGAGGAGGAGGAGGAGGAGGAGTTAGTGAAAATATTACTGGGATTGGATTCTAATTATGGTGGTAATAATGAGTTGACTCAGGCAGTTATTGGGAGCAGCCAACTGTTGACGTCTCCCACTCCAATCTTCTCTCCCAGAAACATTGTTGACGTGTCTGACTCTATTCACATGCCTCGGTCTATAGCTCTCGCCTTATAATTAATAATTAAATTCATATGTTGTATACATAAAGAATATTTGGCTCTTGGCTCGATAGGTAATTACATACTGTATTTACTACATTGAAACCCAGGCTTGCAATTGCTGTCATTGGGTTGCTAATTAATGCAACAGCTCGTATTTATAACCAGGGTCGGGGGAGGAGAAGCTGGTTCAAGTTGCAGAAAGAAACTTTCTGACACAAGAACGGGGTAGAAATAGCCTAAGCTACTCTATCCCTTTCAGATGTAGTTCTTTCTTGTCTCAATAAACATACTTGAACTGACACAAGACTTCACGCAGGAAACAAAGAAAACGTGGGGTTGGGGAAGGGCAGCGGAGACCCCTCTGTGAGATCGAGGAAAACAACTGAGTATAGCCCGCGAAGACCCGCTATATATATATATATATATATATATATATATATATATATATATATATATATATATATATATATATATATATATATATATATATATATGTCGTACCTAATAGCCAGAACGCACTTCTCAGCCTACTATTCAAGGCCCGATTTGCCTAATAAGCCAAGTTTTCATGAATTAATGTTTTTTCGTCTACCTAACCTACCTAACCTAACCTAACCTAGCTTTTTTTGGCTACCTAACCTAACCTTACCTATAAATATAGGTTAGGTTAGGTTAGGTAGGGTTGGTTAGGTTCGGTCATATATCTACGTTAATTTTAACTCCAATAAAAAAAAATTGACCTCATACATAGAGAAAAGGGTTGCTTTATCATTTCATAAGAAAAAAATTATAGTAAATATATTAATTCAGGAAAACTTGGCTTATTAGGCAAATCGGGCCCTGAATAGTTGGCTGAAAAGTGAGTTCTGGCTACTAGGTACGACATATATATATATATATATATATATATATATATATATATATATATATATATATATATATATATATATATATATATATATATATATATATATATATATATATATATATATATATATGTGTGTGTGTGTGTGTGTGTGTCCATCATACGCTTGAAACAATCAAGGGAAAAATAGTAGAAATAGAAGTAGTAGTAATAATAATAATAATAATAATAATAATAATAATAATAACGAGAACAATAATAACATCAACAAATCAACAGGTCCCACGGAGACAATTTTACATATGAGTGAGTTTTGTTAATGCTTTTTGTTTTGGAGAAGGCGGAGTCGGATGGATGAGGGAGGGAGGTAAGGAGAGGGAGAGTGAGGGGAGAGGAGAGGGAGAGTGAGGGGAGAGGAGAGGGAGAGTGAGGGGAGACAATAGTGATCACTTTAGGACACGAGCAAACCCGACGTGCAGGCCCAGGCAGCCAACCGGAAACTACAAAGAAATACTAACATTGGGATTTTGAGAGCGGGAAGATGGAGGCGCGGGCAAGCCCCCTCCACCTTCCCGCCTCCTTCACTCCCTCGGGCGCGAGGGGGTAGGTGGGCGTGAGGGGTTGATGAGTGGGCGTAGGGCAGTTTCCCATCAACCAAATTACGAGCAGCCTGGAGGGAGGCGGAAACAGGGACAGGTAGACAGGAATATAAGTCCGGCAGATCACAGCAGCACGGATCTGGATCGGCTTAAAATACCGGTAACTCGGGCGGTTGGCCGGGGCGCCACGTCGTGTGGATGGTAATTACTAAAGTGTAGTTACAGGATGAGAGCCACGCTCGTGGTGTCCCGTCTTCCCAGCACTCTTTGTCGTAGAACACTTTCAAGCTACTGACAGTTTTGGCCTCCACCACCTTCTCACTTGTTGACCAGACCACACACTAGAAATTGAAGGGACGACGACGTTTCGGTCCGTCCTGGACCATTCTCAAGTCGATTGTCAAGTCAAGTCGAACACAATCGACTTGAGAATGGTCCAGGACGGACCGAAACGTCGTCGTCCCTTCAATTTCTAGTGTGTGGTCTGGTCAACATACTTCAGCCACGTTATTGTGACTCATCACCTTCTCACTTGTTCCAACAGTCTATCACTCTATTTCCATGACTGAACTTTCAAAAAAAAATTCGACAGTTTTATTTCCTTACTTTCCGAACTGTTTTTTAGCTTGAAGAGGTGTAAACACCTATTCCTACGTTTACCTCTGTTCTTCCTTGTGAAGATTTAAAAACAATTGACTTGTAAGGGCGGCGAAGTTGAGTTTGCCTGAGATCCCAGCGCGCCTGGGGCCGCCCTGGCAGCACCCAGTCTTGGCTAGTGCCCACTTGGAGGGACCTCTGCACAAACCCATCATGTACATTGTTCTTTTACATTCTTGCAAAGCCACTAACATAGAGTTTCGGGCAGGTCCTTAATCCTAATTTTCCCCGGAATACGACCCTCCACATCGTTTAACAACCAGGTACCAGATTCACGAAAGAACTTACGCAAACACTTACGAACGTGTACATCTTTCCTCAATCTTTGACGGCTTTGGTTACATTTATTAAACAGTTTACAAGCATGAAAACTTGCCAATCAACTGTTGTTATTGTTATAAACAGCCTCCTGGTGCTTCGGAGCTCATTAACCGTTTAATAATTGTAAACAAAGCCGCCAAAGATTGAGAAAAGATGTACAGGTTCGTAGGTGTTTGCGTAAGTGCTTTCGTGAATCTGGCCCCTGGTACCAATTCAACCCGTTCTCGCAAATTCGTAAAGTCAATATTGACTTATTAACTACGTGCATAGGTGATATACTAAACATAATAGATACCCTTAAAAAGATTCATAGAAAACACCGACCTTACCTAACCTTGTTAGTATCTTAAGATAAGCATCTTATTGCTTCGTAATTACAATTATTACTTAACCTATACCTATTATAGGTTAGGTAATAATTGTAATTACGAAGCAATAAGATGGTTATCTTAGCATACTAAGTAGGTTAGGTAAGGTCGGTGTTTTCTATGAATCTTTTTAAGGGTATCTATTATGTTAAGTATGTCACCTATGCACACATTTAATAAGTCAATATTGACTTATTAAATTTGCGAGAACGGGTTGACCAATTGGGTGAACAGAGGCTACAGTTAAGGGCATGGCGCCCGGTCGCTCCTCCCCGGCCAGGATACGAAACCAGGCCAAAACGTTCGCGAAACGCCGGGCGAGTGTCTTACCACTTAGCCACGGGGACTGCTAAATTTTTAATTCGTCAGGGAGTAAGTTCCATAGACTAGGTCCCTTTATTTGCATAGAATGTTTGCACATATTTAGTTTGGCTCTGGGGATATCAAAGATATATTTGTTTGTGGTGTGGTGATCATGGGTTCTACTTCATCTGTTAAGGAAGAGTTTCAGATCAGGATTTGCATTTAAGAACAATGTTTTGTACATGTAAATACCACAAGACAATGTGTGGAGTGAATGTATGTTTAGCATGTTTAGGGATTTAAACAGAGGAGGCTGAAAACAGCCCTGTCTGAAAACGGAGTTTGTTATAGCTCTGATAGCAGATTTTTGCTGATTGATGATGAGCTTGAGGTAATTAGCAGTAGTTCATGCACAGATGACATATGTAAGATAGGGATAAATTAGCGAGTAATATAATGAGAGGAGAGCAGAATAGGAAACACAATATATGTTCATAATATTTTTGCCACTTTGTTGGCTATGTGTTGTATGTGGGTACTGAAGTTGAGTCTCTTGTCTGTATATAGGCCAAGGAACTTTCCATCATTTTTTTTTG